GCAATAATAACTAATATGGTAACATTATTGTATCCAATGATATATTGAATAATTGGTGCTGCCACTAGAGCAGCGGAGCTGATCRAAAAACATCCCAATATGCCGACCATCGTCTTCAACGTTTTTCKGTATTTCACAACATCAAAGTTGCCGTGTGKCGAGTTGGGTTGYTGGGCCTGAACTTGTGATGTGTARCGATGAAGASTCACAAACGACATYGAATACATTGCAATAGTAATAATTAGGATTGCAAGTTCAACAGACAACGCAACAAAATAAAGTTTGACTTTCTCAAAATGAAAAGACATAATTGTTAGCGTTAGAACAAAGAAARCAGTTCCAATCCATCCAAATATAATAGCRATGCGAACTCGCTTTYTCGTGACATARATTCTGTATCGGTGTCTTARACTCARCGCTAGATATCTGTCGATGCTGTTGAAAGCATTCATWAGTAGTGAAATAAAAGCGAGAAAAAAGCCTAGAGAGGAACCAGCAGCCGCCAAAACATCAGATTCAAACAATGCCATCAGATTGTTATCCAGCAAAAGAAGGGTAAGCAAAGGATGAAAAACTAATCCAACAAGAAGATCTGTGAACGCCAAACTTAATATCAGTAGGTAAGACGGTGTTTGAAGGGTTTGGGATTTCAAGATGGAAATGACAATCAATCCATTTCCAGTTGTGGCAGTTATGGCTAGTACTGCATTGAAGAAACCACAGGCGATAAATGGATTCCTGAGAWATTTACCATTAATCTTCACTTGTATGTCTGACGTTTGAAATTCACTCGAATTGATCATTGCAAATCGATGCAGTTAGTCCATGGTCATTGAGAAGTCCAATCTTTTCATTATAGAAGATCACTTTGAGCTTTTAAAGTAAAGTAGGTGAGACAAGCCTGGGTAAATTATTCTACAAATGGTTTCCTTTCCTCTTGATGATCTAGAATAGTATTACCTCCAAATCGGACGTTAGAATAATTTCAGTAACCTCTATTATGGATACCGGTAACTTCTTTTGACTCATCATTGTGTAATTACTTTATTTTTATATATAAATGCAGCTCAATATAAGTACATCTTATTGGTAGATTGCATCAGGAMAATAGATTTTAATCTAACGTACTAAATCTTAATTGTGAATAGCAGTTGGAATTAATATTTTAATATACAATAATCACTGGCGACGTCTTCATAAAAGCTCAAACTTTTCTTATCTTTGTTTATTACTAAGAACTTCTAAAGGAGATAAAATTCTTCTAAGATGAATTATAAATGAACTTCAAAACCTATTGAAACAAGTTTTAATGACAATAGCGAATCAAGGTTTTCTTTACTTTAATTTTCATTTCCGCTCAGAAAAATATGATCAATATGCTACGTGACCATGACCTTACAATAACAGGTATTGTCAAAGCTTACAAATGTCAAGCTTATAAATTTGTATAAATGTTTCGTACTAATCAAAGATGCAATAATTATTTCGAACTCAGTTAGACTATGAAAAAGGCCGACCTYCTCCTTGGAACCATCGACTGTTTTCAATTATCATCACCATGATTGATTTCACTACCTGTTTGGCGAAATGTTAAATCCGAAAGAGGACTAATCAGAAGTTTCTGTAAATATTCTTCCATTCCATAGTATTTTATTTCAGAATTTATCAAAGGGTTTCACAAGGTATCACTACTAGACACTGTGGAATCTTAAARCATTTAAAATGGTCCCTTGAAATGAAGAGTAGAAAAAGTAGTAAAGAACGGAAAGGATCAGACTAAAAAGGGCAAAATTATATGGAAACCAACAAGCAAAAAACGTCAACTAACTAAAACGTCAAAAGACGACGAGGCGATTATGTTTCTCACGACCTTTTAATGATGAATATAATAAACAAATACCTAAAATTAAAATAGTATAATAAATAAATCAACAATTCTTCCATCAAGAACACTTTTTGAAAAGATTCTTACACTCTTTCCAGATATCATTAAATCTCGTCAAATAAAT